GAGAACAGCAGAAAACTCTGAGGATTTGTTGGTAACGCCTTCCAGACATGGTGAAACTGAAGACTGGGTGATAATACAACAACGGATCAAAATAAGAAAAATAGCGTTTCATATTTTTTTGTAGATATCTGGCCTTGAAGCAAGCATAAACCAAGAAATTGCTTCATTTCATCAATTGAAATGGGGCGGAAATTTGCGGCTCTGCAATGTCTAGTTTTTGGTCTGTTGATGTTGACTAAGCTATTTCCATAGTCATTTGAACATTGTAAAATATATTCTTGTATTTAAGGAGTAAAAAGCTTTTCAAATACCTGAAGTGGACTGGAATTGTCATCAAGGGTGATTTTCAAACAGTTGCTAGCTTCATCGAAGTCAAAATCTGGTATATCTGTTGTGTCCTCCCAATCGCTGTCCCCATTGTTTTGAGATTGCTGAACACTCTTGGTGATGAACTTGGAGAAAGGTCTTGATCACTATTAGGGTCATTTTCAGCCTCCGAATTGGAGCTCAAATCTGCTTTGTCATGCTCCTCATCTGACTCACTCTGAAGAATTTTCATTTGGTACACAGTCCTGATCCGATCCATGCTCTCCATCATCCTCATATGGATCTGATTCTTCAAGTTCAGATCCAGAAGATAACTCGTCAAACAAGCGTTTCAACCTGCGTTGCTCCCTCTCATAAGGATCGTTTGTATAGCCATCTCGATCCATCTGGAATTAAAATAAGTACTGAGCTATTTATAAAACTGTAGGCAATACAAATTTATTTTATAACCTCAAAAAAATTATTATTGTGAATTGTGCAAATATTCAACTGAAGAAATTAATTATAAAATCATATAAGAATAATATTATGTAGGTACTTACTTCAAACTTACTACAAACTCTCTTTATAAACAGACACTACTTTGGTTAGCAATGCTTTTCGAATGACACTGAGACCACAGAACACTTACTCTTAGAACGGTATCTCCCATGTTAAAAAAGGATGATAGAATTTTTAGCGGCACCTGGTGGACGTGGTTGATTTTTTTTTCAATTAAGTCCTTGTCTGGTAAGAGGCCATATGAAAGAAGAGAAAATAATAAAAAAAGAAGAAGAGAAGAAAAACGCGGGGCTATCAGTAAAAATTATCCGCATTAAAAACTGTTAGCCAAATTAAGATTTGTTCACACAAACTGCATTTTTGCTTTATTATAGCGAATATCGCTATAATAAAGCAAAAATGCAGGTTGTGTGAACAAATCTTAATTTGGCTAACAGTTTTTAGATAAGAAAAAACAAACATATTCAAAAAATAAATTTATTAAAGAATATATATAATACAAATCCAATATTTAAAAAATGTAATGTATATGAAAATTGTATTATGTATGAAGTAGCTGGATGGCAGCTAGATATTCCAGGATACAACACTGTCCATCATTTTGTGAAGAACTTTATCTGTGAAAAAAGAAAGACAGTATAAGTACAATCTCATTAAAATAAATGTATTAATAAAAAATTATAAGTCCGAGGAATTTTTTAATAAATCCAATATCTACGATACAGCTTTGCAAAACCTGAATGTCATAGTCATGAAACAGAAAATACACAGTATATGCCGCGTTTGAGAATCCATATCGGATGCAACTGATATGTAGTAAATCTTTGATCACGTGATTCAGTTTACGTAAATGTAATAGGACAGATGTGTCAGATTTAAAATAAACTATTTGAGGCGCTGTTCTCCACATCTCGGCAAATGGGCTAAAATAATAATTTATAATACTCTTATTATTATCTCATTTTAATTATTGTGCCACTATACTGTATTTGCTCAACCAGAATGAGTTGCAACGATTGCAAAAGTTGCAGAATAGAGGTCTGCGGATAATACTGAGCTGTTCGAGATTGGAACCAATCAATTCCATGTTGAATGTGCTTCAGTGGTTGGCTGTTAAAAAATATTTGCTATTCTATTCCCTGCTTTTTATATTTAAAATTAAATCAGGAATCTCCCGAGTATATTTACAAAATATTTTAAGTCATAATCAGGATGTTCATGAACATAAGCAGGTAATAAGAAAATTTTTAGAGTTTATAAGGCCACGAAAAAATGTACACAAAATTCAGTGTTTTTTAAAGGTGTACAGGCTTTTAATAATTTGCCTGAGGATATTAAATGTTCTTCAAACGTGGCAATATTTAAAATAAAACTGCGTGAATACCTGTTGACCTATTGACGTTTTTTTTTTTTTCTCTTTCTTGTTCTTTTATTATGTTTTGTATAGTTGACATGTAAGTGTACTGTAATATTATGTATTTTTTATTGCATTTTAAATGTATGTTGATTCTATATTTATGTAATTTTTATATTTTAAACGTGAAGATGTATTGACATGTAAAAAATAGTTTTTTTTGACTAAATAAACGATTTATATATAGGTATGTGGATAAAAAAACTCTTGAGATGTAAAAAAATGCATCTGATGTGGATTCTCAAACACAGCAATCAGTATAAAATAAATGAGTAGAGTACTAACTTTCCTTCTCGAAAAAAAGTCCAACATATATTATTAGTCTGCTTCTTCTTCTACGATACAGCTTTGCAACCCCAAATGACATGAAACAGAAAATACACAGTATAAGTATAAAATAAATGAGTAGATTACTAACTTTCCTTCTCGAAAAGAAGTCCAACATATATTATTAGTCTGCTTCTTCTTCGAACCTTTACTTGAAGTAGGTGTTTGATCAACTTATTCAATTTCTACGTTATTTATGAAAAGTCCATCCGCTACTCTTCCAGGAACTGCTGGTAGGAATAGCGTTGGAAATGCTTCAGGTGTTAGACCTCGACGAGAGCCAACTACTTTATACTTCTCTTCAAAATGTTTATGACATACTACAAAGGTGGAATAAATTTGTAGTCTTGTTTTATTATTAAATCTTGGACACCGGACAGCAAGTGCACAAATATCAAATAAATCGGGTGAATTCGTAGAGTGGGGCAGACAATGCATCTTGTTGTCCACATCAAGGCAATTCGGTACACAACATTTTCTATAATTACGCATCTATATAAAAAAGCACAAAATAACAGCGAAAAAAGCACAAGATAACAGCTCAAAAAGCACAAATGTATAATGGAAAAACAAGCTTATTAACAGTGGTCAACTAAATCAATTAAAATTGGAAATGAAAACAACTGAATACAACAGTCACCAATATAAATAAACAAAGTTCACGTTTGGTTTAAGCTTTAAGCCAAGACGCCATGACACCCCCCACAAAAATCAATATTCACCTGTCCTTTATACTCCCACCACCCGACTGCAGCGCGGACGTGGTTGATTTTTGCTCTATCCCAGGCCTGCGCATACCAGTTTCCCCCCTCTGACTGAGACGCTGCACGGCGTAATGCGCGCCAAAAGCCAAGCCTACCGAGAACAGGTGGTCAGGGCGAGTGGGAGGGGATAATCAGCTGATATGACACTACGGTATATATGTGCTCCCATGATACGGGACAGTAGCGATCCAAATAACATTGGGCGATATGCTTATTAGGACGCCGTCCGGCGTTCTGTCACCAGATGCGTTTGAATATTTGACGCCGTACGGCGTCGTGTCCGTACCTAGGGAAGCAGAATTACGCCATACGGCGTCGATGCCACTGAACGTGTTAAGTTAAAATCTCAATTATCACAAACAGTAAACGATATAAATTTATTGTCAATTACAAACAGTGTGTCTAATGATGTAATTAATCATTTAATTATTTAATAAAGGTTTTATCTTCAAAGATAAAAAGAAAACTGTCAAAATAGTTATGCCTATATACTTATTAGCAACTGTAGTATAAACATTATCTATTACAAAAAACAAATATGTCAATACCTAGATATCAAGTTATAATGTATGTATATTCTCTTTCAAAATTTCCGTACCTTAAGCCTAAAAAAAGGCCAATTACAACTACGTTCGCAAAGAAATTACACACTTTATTTTAAAATAAAAGAAACGAACTTTTACCAGTAAGTATCATTACAAATATTAAAATTTTCATTCAATACTCATTAAACAGTGAAAAAAAAATCGTAAAAATAATACACGTATTAATTTTCGCCATTTACGGTTTTAAATGACACAATGACTTTTTTGTTGATATGACCTGAAAATTGCTTGGCAAGCAAACTTTGTAGATCCAATCGGACAATTTATCTCTTTACCGCACATTAACAAAGACTGAAGCAGATTATTGGGATGAGAGGATCAGTGGAAAAGAAAATGTAGCGAGTGGTTAAAGCTTTCAACTGTGAGGTCGAATCCAAGCATATACAGGGGTAGGTACGACAATATCTTATTGACGAGATGAGGCCGAAATATAATACACTATTATGAAATTACAATCCGCCCACCGTTGTGGAATATGAAAAGTAAGGAGTAAACTTATCTTCGAATTTTCTCAAATATCTGTAGAATATTACGAAGGTTCCGTCGGTACTTTTTTAGAGCAGCACGTTCCCTCCATTTTCTCGAAATAATAAATTTGTATAAGTGCCAAATGGCTACAGCTCCTACCGCGGATACTTTCATCATGACGCGACCAACCATCCGCGGCTGTCTCCGCAAGAACAATACGCGCTTCCCACGGCACCGCCATCAGCCGCGGTACGCGGCTCGTGCGTTCTTTGCCGCATTCCGACATGTAAAGCAATAGCTGCCAGAGGGAAGGATATGTATATCTAATGGGGTTGTGACACAGTCTTTTCATCTTGGACGCTATATTTATTCGAAATAGTAGTCGTCAAGCCTGCCAATTTATAATATCTTTGTGTTCGACATAAAATATTTAAATTTAATCCATGATTTCATGTATTGTAGATATAATTATTTGTATGCCACCGCCACATCCATTAGAGATCTGTCAGCTGATTTCTGCAGAAGTCTCTCTTTTAATTTATATTTTTTTTTGTAATTTATTACTACCTGAATAACCTGTATTTTTATTTTTAGCAATCTCTTACCCAATGTATACAGCGTTTTTTCATGAAAAGATGTGGGTGTTGATGTTACCGTTCACAGACAAAGCAGTTTACCAAATCCACGCTCTCTGCTTCTTGTCGAAAAAAAGTCTAAGCGTCTACTACGTAGCTTTAGACGTACTTATCTTTCTTCCAATGCTGACAGTTTTTATCTGGTTCTACCTAAAGATCGCCGCCCTAATTTGGGTGCACAGAAAACCAGTTACTTCAAAATTTAATAAATATGAAAAAGATCTGGATGATTCAACGACTAGCTCTACAAAAACCACAAATATAGCTTCCTCAAATATTAGCATAATAAGTAAAAATAAACCTAAAAAGGTAAAAAATTTGCAAGTACAAAAAAAGATTCGTACTTTCAGAATAGTATTAGTACTAGTAATATCATTTGTTCTATGTCGATTTCCATATTGGTTCTACTACACAATAAGATTGCTGGGAAAATGTAGCAGTAATACCAGTTGGAACCTACATTTTACTTTAGTTTCTTTGAACCTGTTCAATTGTGTATTGAACCCTTTGTTATATACTTTTCTTAATCAAACTGTTACAGCTCTAAGAATTTTTAAGGATTTCTTGTGGAAAGTATGTTGTTGTTGCTGTTCCAGTGATGAGTTTGAGGAATTTGAAAAAGAAAATCCGTATGCCAACGATCAAATTCAGCCTGCTTGTGGGACCGTTAAAGCAAGGGTACGTGTAGATAAAATATGTTTTGAAGGGAAGAATCAAAGATCAGTACAAAAATACTAGAATATCTTCAAGATTAAGGTCTACATTTAATAAACCGTACTTGGCTGAGATACTTAGCTTAGCGAGCGTCAAAAAATCGAAGTTAAGAGAAATCACGGCAATTTAAAAAATTACAGTTACAAATGAACTGTTATAGATTTTTTACTCTCCATCTCTAAATTCCAGTGCAATTCTGGCACTTTAGTGAAACTCACGGTTCGTAAACTGATACGGTGGCCTCATTAGTTTGCTAGGGACGGGGGTATGACGTCACAAAATGAAAAATCTAGATGACCTGTTAGGTTTGTTCCAACACAATAGCAAATCGGTTTCCGTACTGTCAGGATTCTGCGCAGTCTAGATTTGATGTTCCAACAAACTTCTGACTCAAAACTGTACAAAAACCTAGTGTTCCAACACACCCAAACCTAATCACAGACCAGTTTCTGTACTGTCAAATCAGTTCCTGGGTGTGAATATGAACGAATTGTCAAGACATGCGCAAAACGAAAGTGAGCTCGTAAATAAACCACCACCAACTCTAAAAATCGAATAATCAAAATTTATAAATCTTTTCATGAGTTTTATAATTTTTTTACTTCCCAAATTCAAAATTTTACATTTGTTAAATTTGGTTTTACTTTGACGTTATTAACAGAGTGTGTTTGACAACACAAAAATGTGTTCCAACACATCCAAGTTTCGAATCGCGTCCCAATCCTCGACAGGTCGTCGACTATCAGTCGTCGACAATAAGTTGTGGACTGGTTTATGTATGGTCCCAAAATTGTTGTTGGAACAAACCTATAATATTCTGCTGCGGTTTGTACATTAGTTTTTTTAAAAAGTTTAATATTTTATTATTATTTACTGGTGTATTTTTTTTTAACTATTTGCAAGTATAAGAGATTTTATAATATCGGTAGTTTTATTTTTTGAAAGACAAAAGCAAGAAAAAGTCATGTAATGATTTTGATAAAATTTCAAATGAATTACTTCAACAAAAGGAGGAGGTACTCAATTCGTCGAAATATTTTTTATGTATGTTCAGCGATAATATTTATCACAATGTCGCAATTGGAGTTTTTCTAATAGACTGAATGTCAATTCTTATACCCATGATATTTTATAAGACATATTTTATTGACATCATCATCATCATTACTGAACGATAGCTTGAACATATGCAGCAACTGTTTGGTTTTATATTTTAACTTTCTCGTTGCTTCAATTATTTTATAACCTCTTTTTTTAGTTCATTAGTTATTTGTTGAGGATCACCGGAGTGGTGCAATTTGGTAGCTATTACCTTAATTGGTCGATTTTGTTTATTTTCGAAGAGTACCTTGAATAATTTTCACCACTTCCTGTGAGCTTGGTAACATTATCCGTCCGGAACATTTACCCTAATATTTTTGTCATTAATGATTTTTATTTGAAAATTAATAATTTTGTTAGATATAATTTGATGGAGATTATCAAAGTTTTCATTTATTGTAGGTGACTGGTGTACCTTTTTAGTTTTTCGGTTATGTTTTTTTTTGGTGTGTCATCGGCTTTAACTGCTAAGGTTATCTCACCTCTTGTTCTGTGTAGGCTTTGTTACTGTTTCCCAGCGCCACTTTAGGAACGTTTTTCGGTTATTACCTTCAACCATTTGACTGATTTTGTGGGGGAGAAAGTGATGTATCCATTCGTCTCTTCTTACGGATTTTTACTTCTTCGCCGGTGAAGTATCCGTCTGGCGTATGTTCAATCTGTTTTGTTGATGAACCTTGTGCCATACTTGTTTTCACTTAGTGTATATTTGTCATGCAGTTCGTTAAATGCTTTTTGAATTTCTTCTAGTTGCAGTTGCATTACATTTAGATGATTAGCCATGCATTCTTTCTCAAATTCTGATTTTTTCATGCGGTAAATAATGCTTGTTCCTTTTCTGTTTGTGAACTGGCATTATTTTCCTCTGTTAAAGTCGCCGTATTTGATGAATTAAATACCGCGGTGACCTGATTTTCCATCTTTTTCTGAGGTATTATTTTTAAATTAATTTTATCACTGGATTTAAAACTAAACAATGTTACAAATTACTAAACTATAAACAATCATTGTTTTTATTGTTTGTCGCGATTCGCGATACACGATATTTAACACAACCTTACTCATCGGTAATCAAATTAATGAATCATTACACGATTTTTTCTTGATGTCTTGTAGCTCGTCTTTAAAAAAACTGCCGATATTATAAACAATCTAACACTTCCAAAATTAAAAATATATACACCACTAAATAATAATAAAATATTATATTTTTAAAAAACTAATGTGCGAACCTAAGTAGAATATTTTCTCGCTTTTTCTTTCGGCGACATCACTCCGTCCTTAGCAACGGGGATGAGGCCACCGTAGTGTCTACGAACCGTGAGTGAAGCTATAGCCGAACTTCAATTTTTCGTTCAAGGGTGAGCTCAGCCAAGCAGAGTATTTATAAAAATATGGACCTAACTATTTTATACATATATTTATTTTTTAATGGACACAATGCTTATCTTGTAAATAATCTCATATTTAATTAATAAAAGATATAGATAGTAGATACTTTCTTTTTTTATGCCCTTAACCTCTTATGGACCAAATATTGAAATAAGCAAGAAAAAAATTGTGCTGAATATAGTAGAATATATATAAATAACATTCACAAATTTTTTTTTTTTTAGAAAAATATGGGTACGTATCAAATATGATATTATTGTCATAACTGACTAAACATGAAATTGCCTAAAACAGTTTCGTTGTTTAGATAAGCACAAATAAATGTGACATTTTTCACAGTAAACTGATGTTAGGTTACGGCAAATTGGCGACTTTTTGTGACCATTGCAAAATGTCCAATATTATTTCTTCTTATTATCGATGGTGGAATTGGTGTTGCAGGTCCTCTTTTCTTCTTTTCTTCAAATTGTTGCTGAATTCTGTCACCTGTTGGCCTTCCTCTTTTCTGGGACTGCATATCTTTATTTTGTTTACACAAAATATTGACTATTTTTGATTTGAATGTCAGCAAATCATCCACTTAATTTTTCCTAAAAGAACGTGTCTCACAATCTCGTTTGTAGAGTAGCCAACTATTCACAACACACACATCTATGAAGTGAAAGAAAAAGCGTAAATAGTATTTTTTTGTATCTTATTGATATGCGATAGTATGAGATAAGATCATCCAGCAAATCTACACCACCCATGAACTTATTGTACATTAAAATAATTTCTGGACAAGTTACCATGACATGTTGCTTGGTTTTTTATCAAATCTTTGCATGAGTGTTGTAGGATGATCTGAAGAAAACGAAGACGAAAACGAAGACTAAATCAACTGGCTTGTTATCAAACCATTTCACAGCCCTCATTTTACATCCTTCAATATCAGCCTCTTTTTCATTTCTTTGTCTGACGTGAACGCAAGTCCTTTGAATCTTGCAAGTCGAACAGGTCCAAGGCAGTAAATTCCAACCTTCTGAAGCAGAACAAATAATTTTGGGGATGAAAACCAGTTGTCAAAGAACAAATAATTATTTTGATTTTTTGGGATTATTTCAGACAGTTTTAAAACAACATTAGAACTCGCACCGATATCAGGAAAATTGGAACTTGAATCTATCCTGCCTGTGTAAATGTCAAAATCGTAGATGATTCCTTTTACTTCGCATAAAACAAAAATCTTATAGCCCCATTTAGGGGGTTTTTGGGGTTGTATTGTTTTAGAAAACTTTGAGCTTTGAAGTGCAATATTTGTTCATCAACACACAAGTTCTGTTGCATAGGTACTTTGTTGAATTTTCTTTTCAAATTTTCAATGAAAGGTCTAATCTTATAAAGACAATCTATGTTTTTTATATCGATTTCATCATTATTATGCATGTGCAGTGATGCTTTTAGTTGCAAAGATCGATTTTTGCTCATAATGTCTGCAACTTAAGGAATTCTTGTGGAGTGTCACCAGAACATCTTAATTCTTAGTAAATTATATATCGACAAACTGTTCCATCACCTATTTTGTAACAGACAGAGGCTTATTAGGATCTTTCTGGATAGCATACAGGTTCGATTTATCTTCGAGGAGATCAAATATTTATTGATCAAAGAAATCCTCAAAGTATGTAGGTACTTGCTTCATCCACATATCTATCGTCTGGTAAATTTCCCAACCATTCAGGTTTGCTTCTAGGATCCTCAGAGGAAACAGCTTTCCAGTCTATTCTTGTTTTTTTATTTACTTCACTATCAGAGGAATCATTTTCATTACTAGAATCACTATGATCAGATCACTATCATCACTAAAACTTTCATGTCCTACTACGAAATTTGGGTCATCAATATCATCTAAGCAGCTATCGTCACTGTCAAGGGGTGGTAAATGTGAGCGACTCATCTGAAAAGTTAAAAATACCCATAAGAACCATTGTAACATATTTGATACGATATGATATCTTACCTTGGTAACCACTATCATATGTGATACAAATGAAAAAATCGAAGAAATATCAAGAAAATAAATCAAATTCAATATTTTATGGCACGCATACAACTCTTTATGACTCCTTCAATACACCAAACAAAAAAAAGCAAATAAATTCACCTTATTTTCAACTTTGTTCACTTGGGAAAATACACAACTAGTACTGTCATTCATAACTTCAAACTGCTAAACTTATTGATTTATTAGTTCAGCACCTATTCTACAGATGGCGATAGCAGTATAGAATTCTATTTAAAGCTATGTATCAAATAAGTTTTTCAACCTAAAATAACATATACATAGGATATGTCTGAGTTTCGTTTATGATCCTCACCGTCTTATTTGCTGGTTTTTCCTTGACGACCTATATTTAATCTTGTTACCCTCTACTCCGCTGGGTCCCGAGATCTAAGTAAAATTTTCTCTTATCTAGCTCAATTAGTTTTTCTTTGCACCTCCATACCATTTTTAAATCTTTCGCGTATATTTCCGCCTGGAAAATGGTAGG